AGGCTGGTCTCGAACTCATGAGCTTAGGCAATCCTCCTGCCTGGGCCTCTCACGTACCTGGGATTACAGGCACCCGCCACAACACCCAGCTATTTTTAGAGACAGGGTCTCACTCTTGCTCAGACTGTTTTCAAACTTATGAGCTCAGGCAATCCATCTGCCTGGGCCTCCCAGGGTGTTAGGATTACAGGCGTGAGCCACCACGCCTGGCTCTATTGTAATAATTATACAGATCTATATTTACTTGGTAGTGAGTGGCACCTCCAGAAAATGTGCAGTGAACAACTTGCACAACTATGAGCAGTGGCCCTGATCCAAGTAGACCCTGTGTTCTCAAATACACCCTCTACATTCTAACCACTTACTAATGCTAGCTATTGTTTACAGAGATTTTTTTTTCCCAGAGTCTTTCCGACATTCTTCACTGATTTATTTTTATCTGTTGATTATTTGAGGGAAATATAAAATGAAATGGCTATCAATTAGCTTAAATATTAATACTTAGGAAAAAAAGGCATTTTCACCAGTGGTCTAATCTAATCTGGTATTATTATTATTATTATTATTATTTAGACAGAGTCTCAAGCTGTTGCCCTGGGTAGAATACCCTGGCATCATAGCTCACAACAACCTCCATCTCTTGGGCTCAAGCGATCTTCTTGCCTCTGTTTTTCTATTTTTAGTAGAGATAGGGTCCTGCTTTTACTCAGGCTGGTCTCGAACTTGTGAGCTCAAGCAATCCACCTGCCTGGGCTTCCCAGAGTATAATCTGGTATTATTAAAAAAACAAATATCTAAGCTCCTCCAAGGAGAAAATTCTGAAGTGACAGGAATATTAAGGCAATAATAGCACACACTAATGTTACTGCGTATGTCTATATATGTGGACACAGATCAGATATACATCTGATCTACATGGATATCTGTATACTTACACACACACACACACACACACTTATATACATAAACTTGTTTAATCCACACAGGAAACCTCTGAGATAGAGCTTATTATCCCTACTATATAGATAAGAAAACTGAGGCTTGGTAATATTATTTCCCAAAGGTCATGGATAGGAAGAAGCTGAGTCAAGATTCAAACCTTTGCCATCCAATCCAAAGCCCACACTCCTAACCACTTTAGTGGAGATTAGTTGAGTGCCTGTGCCCTGAAGTGAGACCTTTGCTGTATGCCTCTTGAATAGAAGTCAAGGCTGTTCTATAGTGGAGCCAGTGGCCCATCCTGGGATAGGGAATAGCCCAGTCCTAGTTCTATTTGTGGGAAGGGCCTGAAGAGAAAAGTGTGGTAAGGTATTGTTTGTGTCTGAAAGAAGATAGCCGGTGGGACTTGGGGAGAAAGCCATGGAGGGAGGAAAAATAATAGGGCCCCATCTTGTTCCCCATTGTACTTCCAGTGTGCCTGGCACCATGTTGGTGCTCAGCTAGCACATGCTGAATGACTGAGTGACTACCTGGTCAGCCAGTTAGCATGCTCCTCTGTGTGCTCTGCCTCCCTGACGTCTGCTCTTGCTACCAACTCCTTCCCTTGTCAATAAACTAACTCATTTGAACTGGACATGTGAGCAGCCGCAGGCCCTATGATCCCTACTTTATCTTCTTAAAGTCCTCACAGGAACCCACCGCTAGATTATTTCATACCAAAATGTTTCTGGGTTGGAAAGAAATAACAACTTTCTTCTGTATTTTGTTTAATTACTTCATTTATTAGGCTATTTAACAAAAAAATTAAAATTATTTTTAAAATATATTATTTTTTGAGACAGAGTCTCACTCTGTCACCTGGAGTAGAGTGCTATGGCCTCAGCCTAGCTCACAGCAACCTCAAACACCTGGGTTCGAGGATTCCTTCTGCCTCAGCCTCCCTAGTAACTGGGACGACAGGCACCTACTACCATGCTCAGCTAATTTTTCTATTTTTAGGAGAGACAGGGTCTTGCTTTTGCTCAGGCTGGTCTCAAACTCCTGCGCTCAAGGGGCCCTACTGCCTTGCTCAGACTGCTAGGATCACAGGCATGAGCTACTTCGTCTGGCCAAATTTATTTGTTTAAGAGGAAATTTAGGCTTGATCACAAGTTTGACCAATTTAAGTATCTTAAATAATTTAAGATGCAAACAGAAATTCAACATGACTAGTTCTTTTAACTAGTTCATTTGCCCTAAGGATACACAAATATTATGCTTAATATTTGTAAATTATAGCATGTATTAAAGCCCTGCTATCGATACTGGTTACGAAAGTTCTAAAGCCATGGGCTTAATTTTTTTCTCATCCTTTTTTTTTAATATCATTTTGCCCCAGTGAAGTCATCTTATTCTTATTTTCACACCTCTCTGAGGTTCCAATTTTTATACCTTTCTAGGGTTTCCGTAATTCTACCTGTTATTATTTTTAAACCTTCCTGAAGCGTTTATAATCCTTCTACACCCAAAAGAAAAAAGAAACTGTTTCAGAATAAACTGAGATTACGGGTTCTGGACAGAGACATGGTATTAGGTTGCACCATTTAAGAATTCAAAACTGAGTGGCCGTCATTAGCCCTAGCACCATTTTATGGAAAATATTTTCTTTTTATCATGTGATGCTTTTAGCTTTCTTTCTCTATCTTTTCTGGTTGTACTTTAAAAAAAATAATAATAAGGTCTCACTCTGTTGCCCAGGCTGGAATACAGTGGCATCATCACAGCTCACAACAACCTCAACCTCCTAGGCTCAAGCAATCCTCCCAAGTAGCTAGGATTACAGACACATGCCGCCTGGTTAATTGTTCTTATTTTTTGTAGAGGTAGTGGTCTCACTAGGTTGCTCAGACTTGCTGTGAACTCCTGGTCTCCAAAGATCAAAGCAGTGGGATAGGCCAGAGCCACCATGTTTAGCCCTGCTGGCATTATTATAACCTACTTATTCCATTATTAATTAATAATTGGACAGGTCATCAGGGTTGCACACATACCCTTCCTTGCCCCTCCCCCATTAGAGAGTTTCAAATTTGGCTGAACATTAGAATCTGGGGACTTTTTAATTTTTTTTGAGACAGAGCCTCAAGCTATTACCCTAGGTAGAGTGCTGTGGCATCACAGTTCACAGCAACCTCCAACTCCTGGGCTTAAGCAATTCTCTTGCCTCAGCCTCCTTAGTAGCTGGGACTACAGGTACCCACCACAACACCCAGCTATTTTTTGGTTGTAGTTGTCATTGTTGTTTGACAGGCCTAGGCTGGATTCGAACCCACCAGCTCTGGTATATGTGGCTGGCACTTTAGCTGCTTGAGCTATAGGCACCATTCCAGAATCTGGATTTTTTGTTTTAAATCATGGTCAAATACACAAAATCTGCCATCTTAATCATTCCTAAGTATACAGTTCAGTGGCACTAAGTACATTTACATCGTTGTGAACCATCAGCACCATCCATCTCCAGGACTCTTTTTTCATCTTGCAGAATGGAAACTATACACATTAAATAATAACTCCCATTCTCTCCTCCCCACAGGCCCTGGCAACCTCCATTCCATTTTCTCTCTCTATGAATTTGACTACTCTAGCTACCTCATATAAGTAGAATCATACAGTATTTGTCCTTTTGTAACTGGCTTATTTCACTTAACATAATGTATTCCAGGTTCATCCATCTAACATGGGTCAGAATTCCCTTCTTATTCAAGATTGAATAATATTCCACTCTATGGGTTTGGCGTCTGTAGCTCAGCAGTTAGGGCACTGACCACATACACCGGGGCTGGCAGGTTCGTACCTGGCCTGGGCCTGCCAAACAATAATGACAACTACAACAATAAAATAGCTGGGTGTTGTGGGTGCCTATAGTTCCAGCTACTTGGAAAGCTAACAAAAGAATCCTTAAGCCCAAGACTTTGAGGTTGCTGTGAGCTGTGACAGCACAGCACTCTACTGAGGGTGACATAGTGAAACTCTGTCTCAAAAAGAAAAAAATTAGTTTTCATTAGGACACATAGCTAATTCATCATCTCAGAACAAAATATGCAATCTCCTTCCACCTGGTTACTTTATGTGTTCATTAATACTGTCCAGTCATGGAAGTGCCTTGCTCTTCCTAGAGTTTCTGGACTTCATTCCATGAGTTCTATTCTTTCCTCCTTACACAGATAGAAATAGGTTTACATTTATTCCTTATAGAGGAAAATGAGAAAAAACAAAATACTCACATGTTAACACACTTCTACTTACAGCAATTATCAAAATTATACATATCTTGTTATCTTTCTTAGTACAATTGCCTTTTTGAAAATTCTATCTTAATTTTCCACTTTTAACTTCAGCATAGTGGTTATTATATACTATTTTAGGTGCTGAAATTGTTACAACTCAGACAGTGGTGGTCCATTTAATTACATCTTTGTCTTTATACTACTATGCCAATATCCTTGAAAATATCCTTGCTTTCTGGTATCAACAGTATCCAGTAGATCCATCCTAGGTTTTCTGTCTCAAGAAATGGAATCAGCTACCTTTCAAGCACTCCTAATGGTAACCACTAATCTACACCAACATCTGGTCATTAGGGAACGTATATGAGCGTTTGAAATGGAGTAAAGTACTAGATCTTGCTCAGTGACAGAGTCAGAAAAGTTTTCCTGAAAGGTCTTTCCAATTTAACATATCACTGATATGCCCTGCCTTCCTGATGGTCTGTGAATCCACCCACCACACTGACAGGACCTTTGAGGCCTCTGTTATCATCATCTTCATCGTATCATTGAATAAACTCAGAGTGCAAGAAGTTATATAACTTGCAAGTAAGTGTGAGATCTGGGATTCAAATCCAGCACTAATTTCAGAAATCGAAATTAACTGCCTCTGTCTATTGCCAAAAGTACAGAACTTAGTCATTTGCAAAAGACTTTCCATCAGCTTGTCCCACTTAGGACTCCCAAAGTAGAGTCTTCCTCCCTGTCGGTGAGGTGAGAAGATGAAACATTGCCTACATTCTTTTTCTCTCCCTACAGGATTCGGGAGTGAGAATGACAAGGCGAGCACTCCAGGAGAAGGGCCTGAAGACAGAGCCCCTCCGAAGGCTCCTTCCCAGGAGAGGCCTCCGGACAAATGCCCGGCCCAGTTCCACAGGGCCGGATACTAGAGCTCCCGGGGGAGGAAGCAAGGCACCGAGGGCACCCAGGACGAGCCCCCAGGGTAAGGGGAGGTGAGCAGGCTCCCCAGGGAAGATGAGGCCCTTAGGCCTCCCTTGGCCGCCCCAAGATCCAGCCACTTACCTGTGCCCTGAGGGTGGAAAGAGCTTCCCAGCTCAACACCCACCGCGGTACCATCGGGGCGAGTAGCCCCCACCTGTCCGGAACCTAAGGTCACAGCACCCATCCTGTTGGCCCCGGCTCCCGCACGCGAGCGGGCCCAGGGGCGCAGAGTGTGGAAGGGCTTGGGCAGCGCTCAGACCACACCCGCGCCCGAGGCTGCCCTGCCTCGAGGCCTCGCAGCACCTCGCGTGCCTGGAGCGGGCATCTCCGGCCGCCAGTCTGCCTGCTCACGCGCCCCCCGCGGCCACCGCCAACCGGCCCGAGTGTGCGCGCCGTGAGTCCGCGCGGGAGAGGGGCCCAGTCCCGCCAGCTCAGGCGACTGGGTCACACCGCCAGGGGCGGTGTCAACGCCTCCTGCCACCCCGCGGGCCGCCCACGCACGGCCGAGAGCCGGCACAGAGATCCTGGCACCGCAGCCACCCCTGCAAGGTCTGGGGGTGCTGGGCCTGGTGGCGGGGTGGCCTCTGGCTCCAGAGGACGTGCAGCAGGAGCTTCGGTGCCAGCTTGGCCAGTCAACTTGGGAAACGACGTGGACGAGTGGCCTTTCAGCCAGGCACCTGCCTTGCATCTCGGACCGTGTGGAGGAGCGGGGACTACTGGCGTTGCCATGAGCTGGCCTCACCTACCTGGAAAATCCCTGCCTGGAGAAGCTCAGGGCCAACAGGCCATTGGAGTGGTTCCAAGAGCTTTCACCAAGCTCTTAACTTCCTGACCTCACTGTTGGGCTGGTGCTAGGAAATAATAACGCCTCCCATTTACTGAGGGTCTGTGCCAGGCTTGTGATTGATGTCATTTAATCCTCACAACATCCCTGTGACATGGTCTCATTTATCTGCATAAATTTATCTGCATAACCTCTGAGAGGTTAAAGAACCTGCCTAAAGTCACATAACCCAGCATTCAGACCCAGGTCTGCCTATCTGACTCCACGACCCACCCTGCTATGCAGCTTCTCTTGCTGGGCCATGGTCGGGTTAAGACCGTGGGTTTGACAGGGCCTCCATTTCTGGAGCATTCATTTTTCTCAGTGGTAAATTTTATAGAACACTTTTTACACTATGGTGAGAAGACACTCCCTGGGATGAAAGTTAACATTTGTCCTAGTGACTGAGATGAAATTTGATGTGACACAGAAATTTTCTGCATAAAGCCAATCAGTGCTTCATGCTCAGCCCATGGATCCCTGAAGTGACCTCTTCTCAGGCCTCTCTAGGGTGATGTGGCAGAAGGAAGCTCTGCTGTCGAACCTGTGCGCAGCTTCAGGGAGGCCAAGAAAAATCACCTCTTTCTATATGCCACCTACCAGTTGCTATTTCCTCTGGGTTAAGGTTTCCAAATTCCCAACAGATACTAACCTTTAGGAATTGGGAATGAAAAATTGGAATTCCTGAGATCATGTTATTCTATTTTTCATAACTTTTTTTTTTTTTGAGGCAGAGTCTCACTCTGTTGCCTCATCTAGAGTGCTATGGTGGCAGCCTAGTTCCTAGCAGCCTCAAACTCTTGGGTTGAAGTGATCCTCCTGCCTCAACCTCCTGAGTAGCTGAGACTACAGGCACCTGTCATGACACCCAGCTATTTTTTTCTATTTTTAGTAGAGACAGGGTCTTGCTCTTGCTCAGGCTGATCTTGAACCCTGAATTCAAGAATCCTCCTGCCTTGGCCTTCTATTTTTTGTTTGTTTGTTTGTTTGTTTGTTTGTTTTGCACAAATAGGAAATACCCATTTAGTGTAGCACTACAGCCTATAGGCCATAGCAAATATTCAATAACTAGAAAGTGCCAGAGCACATTATTGGGGAGTATTTGGATAATGAGATTTTTATTTTATTTAATTTTTGAGACAGAGTCATGCTTTGTTGCCTAGGCTAGAGTGCCGTGGCATAATCATAGCTCACAGCAACCTCAAATTCTTGGGCTCAAGTGATCCTTTTGCCCCAGCCTCCCAAGTAGCTGAAACTATAAGTGTTTGCTACCATGCCAGGCTAATTTTTCTATTTTTAGTAAAGACAAGGTCTTGCTCTTGCTCAGGCTGGTCTTGAACTCATGAGCCCAATGCTTCCACCACTTTGCCCTCCCAGAGTGTTAGGATTATAGGTATGAGCCAAAGCACCTGGCCTCCTCTATCTTTCATCTTAGCATCAGTGGATTCCTTCAAACCAGGAATGCCTCTGTGTTGACTGTTAAACATTAATTCTCACAAGAAAATTCTAATACTTTTTTTTTATCTTCCCAGATTCTTGAGTGATTTATTTTGGGATTCAGAGAAACATGCAAATTTCCTGAAAAATGACAGGAAGGATTTCCTGCATGGAAACACTACTCTGGGTTGAGCAGAATTGTCAAAGCAAGTCTGCTACAGAAATTTGACCTGGTATATTGTCAAGCTCAGTCACTGACATTTCTGGGGCTCCTAGCTCTGGGTCCTAGCTCTGCCAGTTCCTGGTTATGAGATCTCGGGCAAGTCTTTACTTCTCTGAGTTTCAATTTAATGGGTAGAGTAATTCTAGGTAGTAATATACTTGCTTTGTGAGGCAATGTTGTAGAATGGGAGTCAGTCTGAGGTTCACATCCTGGCTCCTTTACTCACTACCTCATTGGTTTGAGGCAAGTTCTAGACACTTGATTTTTCTCTTCTGTAAAATGGGGACACTGAGTCTATTTCATAGGGTTTTGGTGAGTTTAAAAGCAATCACATGTGAAAGTGCTGAACACAGAGTACAGTACATTGTAAATGCTTAATAAGTGTGGACCAGGATAGTTATTATCTGCTGTATCTACCTCACAGGGCAGTTGTGAGGATGAAATGGGGGTCATGTTGGGGAAGTGCTGTCTAAGCTGTGAAATGATAGCCACATACTTCTCTTTCCTTCAGAGATGGGATAGTCAGAAGCTACGGGCAGATTATCAGTGGTATCTCCAAGTATGGGGCCTGAGTATAGTGACTTATATCCACAGAAGGTAGCTGTGTTAAGGAGGCAATGTCATCATGATTAGATGAAAAACAGGGTGCAAAATGCTGTTAGATGAGGGTTAATTGCAATCAAGTGGGCAAACTCTGGCATGGTATGACTTGGGGCACACTTGGAGACAGGCAGAAAGCTGATTTTCAGAAAGGCTTTGGAGGAAGGATGATGTTAAATGGAACCTGCCCAGTATATATGTATATTTTTTAGAGACAGAGTCTTACTTTATTGCTCTCTATAGAGTGCTGTGGTGTCACACAGCTCACAGCGACCTCCAACTCCCGGGCTTAAGGCGATTCTCTTGCCTCAGCCTCCTGAGTAGCTGGGACTACAGGCACCCGCCACAATGCCCAGCTATCTTTTTGTTGCAGTTTGGCTGGGGCTGGGTTTGAACCCACCACCCTTGGTATATCGGGCCAGTGTCCTACCAGCTGAGCCACAGGCGCCACCCCTATTTTTTTTTTAAGCGAAAGCAAGATAATTTACTGAGAAGAAAGGAGAGAGGAAAGTCTCCTGCACAGTGGAGGGGGTCCCAGGTGGGTGCCCCCACTATATGTTTTTAAATAAGGATCAAATCAGAGGAAGGGGACATGTAACAACAGGGGGTTAGGGAAGGTCTCTGTCTCTAGTCTGAAACTGTTCTTGTGAAAGGCTGAACTTAGGAAACATTCCCATTAGCAGAAACAAGTGCACCCTCTCCTACTTTGAGTGTACAGATGATGTCATTCATTGCCTACACTGAAGGCCAAACATGGTTCCAAAAGCCTTGCAAAGATGGTCTTGTGTGACCCTGACAGCAGCCCATCAAGTGCATGCTAGCACCATTCCCATTTTGCAGAAGAGGGCTTGGTGTCCAGGAGAGTTAAGTCCATTGCCCGGGGTAGTGTTTTTCAACCTTTCTAATCTCATGGCACACTTGAACCTATAGTTAAACTTCTGGGAAACACTTAAATTACATTGATTTTTAAAAGGAAAGTAAAAAAATATACCTACTGTGCTTTGAACTTCTTTGAAACATAATTTAATTAATGATCTTTAAAAATTTTTGAGGCAGATCAGTGTGCCACGGCAAACTGGTTGAAAATCTCTGGCCTAAGGTCACATAGCTTATATATTGTGGAGTCAAGATTCAGACTGAGTCCAAGCCCTTAAGCCCCACCAGGCTGCTGCAACCTATCAGGTGCCAGATTGCTGATCTTGAATGAGGAAGAAGAAAATCCAAAAATGTGAGTTTTTAGTGCCTAAGTGTCCTCCTCTCTAGCCTTTGGTACCAATGTTTTCTCTCTCCTGATAGTACTCCTTCTTCTCTGGATGTTGCTTCTTTGCTTCCAGGAGTATTTTTCTATGTTTGACCCTAAGTCAGGGTCCTCTGGGCCCCAACCTTTCCTCTGTGTTTCACTGTGAAGGTCTGTGAAGGATTGCCTTCATGCCAACAGCTTCAGCTACTGGTCTTCTCATTCTAATCCAGAATGTCCCTCTGAGCTCCAGCTGGAGTGGCCAACCTTTCTGAGGTCCCAGGTTCCCGACCTCATTCATCACCTCTCCCTTCAAATGCCTCTCCTCCTTTCTGTCATGGGGGAGTCCAGAAAGCCTTCAGAGATAAAGCTTCTTTAATAAGTTCTTGGGGCTAAAGGTGGAATATAGAGTGTGTTCTCTGAAAGCTGCCAACAGTTTAGGAGTGAACTTGGAGAGTGGAATTCATCATGTAATCAGTCAGCTGTCTACTGAGTGCCCAACAGCATGCCAGGTCCCATAGCTAGGGCAAGGGATGCATTCATAATAAAGTAATCCAGGATCCCTGGCTTGCAGAAATTCCAGGCTGCTGGGGAAGACATTATCCAATCCTTCCAAGTACCCAATACAAATTCAGAAACTGTGATAAGTGACATGAAGGAAAACTTCTTGGTTCTATGAGAGAACATAATAGATC